TGCAAGCACATTAAGATTGCAAATGTAAGAGTCACTAATTTCTAAAGCTCAGATTTGGCGCTGCTTTCCTTTATGTCTAATAAATAAGATTTAAATATCAAAAAAGAGCGAATAGATTTAGAAAATTTTCATTTCAGTGGAAATTTGCTATCAAAGCAATCTTTGACTAACTTTATTTCCATAATGTCTATTTATTCAGAAAACCAACAGTTAATTACAATTAAAGATTTCTATTTTGAATCAAATATTTTTCATTAACATATTGATGATCCATCTGAAACGTTTGCTAGTTTAATTTACATTTATTCACCAAAAAGTGATATAGACATAATAAATTTATCATCATCAAACAATGTTCTAACTAATTCTTCTTCCTCATTTATATCAATTACATCAAACATTGTGAAATTAGTTAATTACACAGCTGCTAATCACAATATAGTTAATTAGACTTTCTGGAGTAAATACTACTAAATCAAATTTGAGTAGAATGAAGAATAGAGCAAAATTAATTCAATAATTTCTTAGACATTTAAATTTAATAACAAAGGAGGAGCATGTTTAATAACAGCATCTTCATTTAGTTGTCTGAATAGTAGTTTCACTAATATTCTCTCTTAAAGAAGTTCTTTATTTGAACTTAAAACTCAAGGACAAGGAAGTATCATCTTATCTAATATTAACATATATTCGCTTAACAATGATTTGTCATCCATGATTGATTATCCGGGATCCATTTACATATATTCAGTAAATAGTCTTTTAGATCTGCGCATCAATAAGATTAATTTCTAAAATGTATTTAATAGAAAGAGCTCCTCCATATTTACAATATATCCTTCTCAAAAATAAAATTATATAAGCATATCTAACGTCTAAATAACAAATTGTATTTCCTTGATAAACCCCTTTGCAAAAATTGAGTTTACGTTAGACAACAAAAATTCAAATAGGCTAATCATTGAAAATGTAACTATTTTATAGAATGAGGAGATGTGGATTAATTATATTGAAAAAATAGGATAATTAAGTTCTTTAGAGATATCTGAAATTATTACTGAAAACTCTCTAATCTATATTAAAGGTGGAGATATATCAATTAAAAATTATTAAGTTCAAGGCATATTTATCACCTAATTATTATACATCCATAGCCCTAATAAATTATTAATTTAAAATATCTAGATAAGTAAAATTCAAACCTTTTATCCTTTAAATTTAATAGAGATAAATTTATCTCAAGATATACAATCATAAGTATATTTTCATTCTATAAATGTTGAAAAATTTTCAATTTATTAAGTTACTAATTAAAATACTTCGCATAAAGTAAATAATGTAATTAATTCTATAATTGGATGTTTTATTCTTAAACAAAATTTACTTGATGAAGATTCCTTTAAGTAAGATTCATTGTTTGATAGTTCAATACATAAATGATAGCTTAAAACATAATAATCTGGCTCCATAGTTTACTTGAGTAGTGCTTCTAGTAAGGCTTTAAAATATCCCCCCTTTATCAATCTATTGAATAACAGCTGCCATAAGTGCTTA